TACTGCCTGTCAATCATTCCTGCGAAATGGGATTTAGCAAATCGCTTTGCCCTCCTCCTCTAACATCTGACTGGGTATGGAAGGTCTAGCTCCATTCTGCCTCCAGACTTTTCTGTTCTCACTCAGGGAAGTACCATGCTTGGTGCTGATCATTCAGAAGGGCAAAACTGCATTAAACTTAGTGATCCAGCAACCAATGTTAAACATGCTCCGATGCCTGTTTTGTTTTTTTGAGAAGTCATCACCAGCACTGCAGTTGCTGGGAAAACCCATCTTCTGAGCTCTACCGTATTTCTGATCCTACTAGGCAAGGTAATTAGCCACAGATCCTGCCGTGTTCTAACAGCACAATGCTGAAAGCCTGCATGGGCGAATCTCCTTGATAAATCAGTCTCTTCCTTTGGCTCTTAATGTACCACAGCCGCAAAAGCCAATTTCCAGGTCTTGTCTGCTGTGGCGGCAAACAAATAAAGCTAATGTTGGGAAAACTTTGTTTTCCTGAAGCTAATTACTAGAATGTTTCCTGACAGATCACATAGTGGATCCAGCCCCACCTGTACCATCACAGCTGCCTGTTAAGAGGACATCCACCACTTACATTGAGTAGTCACTTTTCTCCAACAACAGTGCAATCTGGTTTGTGTTCTGTCTAAGCCTCCCCACCCAAGCAGGTGATTTTAACAGAAGACACCAGAACAGAAACCCAGAACTGCTCTGGTGGGATTTTTCATCCTGTACCATCAACACAATGCTTTGCAATACACAATCATATCTACTATGTCAGATCTGAAGTGACTGAAACCAAAATCTGTAAAATTGTGTATTACCAATTCATTTGCTTTCACTGAGATGATTAAGAAATCTCGCTGTTTATTTCTGCCAGCAGACAAGGTTGTGTGGACTTGTTGCCCTTTTGTAGACAAAATCAGAATTGTGTTTCAATTACTATCCATCCTCAAAGCTTATGAAGAGTTTGCCTTATAAAAAGGAAATTAGGAAGCACACAGAGCAGTGAATCCTAATGGGAGCAAGCTGCAAATCTCAAGGGGCATTTAAAATGTGAGGCAGCCCCTTGCAATGGCTTCTGGTAGCAAGCAAGAATTGTTTTATATTGCATTAGCAATAAAATCCCAGATTCCTCTCTGGGGCCTTTAAAAGCAGCATACACCAAAAACGAATCAAACCTCATATTTAGAATTTAGCTGATGGCCATCAGGCACAAAAGTCTAATTGAATGCCTGAGACTAGGATATTTTTATGTTTATATATCAGGAATATAGAGAGTTGCTTGTCTGGGCTGCTGTTGCTTATTGTGACAAGCCGTTTCTTTAAACCAAGGGGACCCCACACTGCCTCTCTGATGAATTTGCAGCTACTTGATTTTGCACTATAAACCTTCCCCTCAGTTACAAGATGCTCTTAGGGTAGGTAGCACGTGTTTGAGAGTTCTGGATAAGTTTTGTATTGTGCATGACGATTACAGAGATCACGGAAGCATAAGGTTTAATAGAACAAAAAAGATTTATTCATGTACAGGTTATGTGGTGAATTGTCTTTAAAGCTTGTAATTACCAGATCTGCTCATCACTGAAAACAGGCCTCACACTCCATCCTCTCCCATGTATGCACATGCCATCAAGATACAGCTGACTTACAACGATCCTGCCAGACTTTCAAGGCTAGAGATGTTCGGCGGTGGTTTGCCATTGCCTGCCTCCACGTAGTGAGCCTGGTATTCCTTGGAGATCACCCAGCCAGGGCTGACCCTGCTTAACTGTCGAGATCGGACTAGCCTGCACTATCCATAGGTAGAGCTAAACCACTCTCTGCCACAATACCAGACAGAATCACACCCACAATCGCCTGCTCCTTCGCTGCAGCAGCTCTGTCTGCCTTCTTCCTCAGGCAGCCCACAACACTCCCTCCCCAGGAGACTGCACGATGAAGCAGCACTTCCACTGGCTCAGGTGTAAAAACTTCTCAGGGGCAGGACAACCTCCTGCCTCTTACCATTCACTTGTAAGCCTTTTCACCTTCATGGACCTTCCTAAATGGTTTTGTTTTGTAAGCAGTCCTAAGTCAACACGGGCCATAGGAAAGGCAGCATATTTTAAAAATGGGTGGGAAACCAATGATAATGGTTTTACTGTGGGGTGGTAGTAGACTGAAGCAGATGTATCGCTGAAAGAAACAAGGCTTACAGTGGAAGCATCAGCATGTCTTCTGGAAAGGGAAGACCCTGCTTGTTCATTGAGGAGGCTGGCAAGCATGCTGATAAGGGGGATCCAGCCAACACATTATACTTGAATTTCAAACTAGCTAAGAAAGTAGTTAAGCGGCTCCAATGAGCAAGTGTAATACCAATGAGCAAGTGTAATACATTTACAATAATTAAAGGACCTGCCAGCACCCTCCTCCAGGTAGGCTACAGCTCGCTAATCTTCCATGGGTGTGAAGCACAGAGACCACGAAGAAGATAAACAGGTTGCTTACCTGTAACTGGTGATCTTCAAGTGGTCATCTGTGCATTCACACCACCCGCCCTCCTTCCCCGCTGCTGTCAGCTTCTACATTTTCCATAGGGGTTGATTTGCGGCGGTTTGAAGGAACTGGCCGGATGTCTGGGCATGCGTGGTGGGGGTTCCTGCGCATGCCCGAGGTCTGGGCGCGAAAATCCATTAAGAGCTTGCTACAATGCCGATCGATCCAGCGCATGCGCACTAGATCCCATGGGTGTGAATGCACAGATGACCACTTGAAGATCACCAGTTACAGGTAAGCAACCTGTTTTTCTGACTGGCTATGGGGGGG